GGCAGCAGCGGGAGCACAACGGCAGTGGTAGGAGCTTGGCGGCAGCAGTAGGAGCCCAGCGGCAGCAAGCGTGGAGCTCCCGAGAAGTTCCTTTAAGTGCATTTAAGAAGTGGGTTTAGCATTTGCGAATATTTGAAACTGTGAATGCTGAACCCGCGAATAGCGAGGGTTTCCTGTAGTTTTAAAAGTAACTTTCCTCTGTATATCACAAAAGGGGAAAATTGTCTATATAACTATGGCTTCCTTTTCAGAAATATCTAAACAATCACAAGTCTCATAAACATCAGTGATAACTAGAGAAGATTTACATTCAAACTACATTTATTGCTTTGCACTTACTGTGAGGAACCTGGAAATCTTCTTTCCACCTCCAGATGTAGTTACAGTTATCTTAAGTATTACTTTAAGAAGTGCGATTTTTAAACTTAAAAAAAAGTATTTCAGGAAAATGGAAAGCAGAGTTGAACCCAGACAAACAGCCCTATTCAATTAAGCTATACTGAATTAAGGGCTGTTGGTTGTAGCTGTGTTGGTCTAAGGACATAGGCAGACAAGGTTGAATTAAGGCCACTTTGATTCCGAATGAGTTCTGAGTGAGTGTTCACCCTGGGTTTCAGTAACCTACTTTGAAATTAAATACCGATTAGCTTTTCTGACCATCTCTATGAAAACACATCCTGAGTACAAGTGCACAGGACTGTGGTTTTGGAGTTCTTGTTGTTAGCACCTTCCTCTGACTGTTGACCTCTCATGAAATTTTCTACCTTGAAAGTGGAGGTGACAGATGCAAGCCTTCTTGGACAATAGTGACAAGCACCCTGATCCCGGCCACAATGGCTAAACATCCCCAGCTTTTTTCCATGTCCCCATCCCTAAATACTATGAAGGCTACAGAAACTCCACAAGGAAGCTACACATTGAGTTTGTTGTCTGAAGCCCTGAAAAACCTAGAGCTGAAATCTGGCAAGAATACTTGTAAATATTTAATTTTAGCAAGTAAATTAACTGAACTTCTGTGTGAGAAATTGTGAGCAGCTGAATGCTGATCACACTGTTTTGTACATTCTATCCTCCTCTTCCTTCAGAAATGTCTGTCTCTTCTTGCAGGCTATCCCTTATGCCTAGAGCTGCTTTCCAAGAACGTCCAGCCGCCACCCATTACATGTAAAATCCCATTGCTTCAGCAGCTTTGCCTTGTTGGTGCCTTCCATCCTGAAAATATTTCACTAAAAGCAGAACAACCAACCCCACAGAACAAACTTCTGTCATCAACAAAACACTTGCTGTTGCCTGGATTTTAAATTGTATTTTGTATCCTTTCCCCAGCTTGGCTCTCTTCTTAGAAGCAGCTTGATATAGAAACTGTGTACAATGCAGTCAGTCACTACAGTTTGCATAGTGGATATACATGATAGCTCAGGTACCACTGGCAGCACAGTCACATCATCATGGAACTCAGCAGTCTGAAAAACCCGTCTCTGCTAAGATGTGTGCTATGGTTACTGCACTGATTGCAGTATCTGAGCTAACTTAGGTTTTATGTATTTAAAGCAAGCTTTTCCATGTCTACTCAAGATGCAGCAGCTAGACATTAAAAATCTAGCCTACTTTATAAACTTTTGCTTACTAAACAGTGAAAACCACAATAACCCATTTCCTTTAAACTGAGCATCAGCATCACTTTCTGCACTTCCCTACCCCGCCAGCCCCACCACTCTCCTTGACAACTTTTAATTTTTCCTCCTCCATTCTTTCAACAATTTTTTCCCCATGGTCAGAGCGTCATTTCCGAAACAGCAGCAGCTCAAATCACTGTCAGTGGTGTTGCTACATCATCCAGAAGAATGTATTCAAAATCATTATTAGAACCACCTTCTTCACAACCACTTCCAAACACCTGCACCTTAAATATAAAACAAATTATTAATTTTAAAACGCACCAGCTTGCAGACCCCTTAGTTAAACTCATGTCTCTCATGCAACCATGTTCCCACTACATTGCCAGTGTGTTTGTGTGTTCAGTTGGCAAACTTTAAAATCTGCCCCCAAATTCCAAAAATAAAAAATATTAAGTTTTGCAATATAGTTCCTCAGTCACGTAAGTTCAGAGTCAGATAAGGCTTCAGCTCTAAGACTTCCAAAAAATCTCAAGATACAAGCCCAAGGGAGCAATGAGAATAAAGCTTTTAATAGTTTTCTTCAATATTAAACCAAACCACTGAAATTATACCTAAATGGACTCACAACAACCTAGCTTAGCCTAGTTCTCTCTCATTCTCCTGTCCTATTGAGTACAACAGTCTTCATAATCAGAAATTCAGCTGGTAGTGAACACCATCAACTGTGCTCCCAAGAGCAAATCCTCTACTACAGAGCTTTCCAAACTGTGTGCCGCGACACATTAGTGTCGGCGGCAGTGTGTAGGTGTGTCGCGCGAAATGCAGAAAATTTTGCGGAAGGGCACCGCGGAGCTCCCTTACTCACGTCTGCTTCCCTTGGCCCCTCCCCCGGAACTGAATTACTGTGTCGCGAAATGATGCATGTCTAAAAAGTGTGTCACCAACATGAAAAGTTTGGAAAGCTCTGCTCTACTAGTTGTACCTGGTAAAGTTCTGAAGTGTGTGCATCCTCAAATAGACAATTCTCAGAGGAAATGTATTTACTGCGAATTATTTATGTTCCTTTTAGGGGATTAAGTCACTTTGCAAAGCATGCATATTTCAACCTTACCTATCCAAAGTACCCTTTTATCAGGAACCATGACCTTGCTTTGGAGGTCTATCAGGACTGAATAAATTCAGTTAAATCAAAGAACTTTCATGTCATTCAGCTAGATCAAACATGAAATATCTTTGGTTTTGTAGCTGGGTAACTATTAAATAGCTATCCAACTATTAAATAATTAAGGGGGACCTTGGTGGAAGAATGAATCTTTTGTAGTACTTCAACTGTGAAATGCATCTTCTTTGTTGTAGATAAACATCTAGTACACCTGTCCCTAGTTTCCAGACATTACTCATTGAAGACAAATATGATATAACTTGAAAGCACCTAGCTTCTCACAGTAATCCCTTATCTGTTCTTCCACCACCATTGTTGAAAGCTAATTTCTTCAAAGTTTTGATTATATTGATATTGGTGTAAGACTATTGGCTGCACAACTTTAACATTGCTACTTGGGCTCCATATTATGTGGTAGCAAAGTGCCAGGTGAAGTCTGTATAATCAAATCAGGTTACTTAGAAACTCACAAGTGACTTTCCATCTGATAGACTCCAACTCTGGTTCATACAAACATTTCACTCTCCCCGCCCCACTCTCCTTCATAATCCTCTAACAGACACACAGTCTGTATCTAATGGAGAAAATGAAGATTAATGGATCAAGTGTCATTTGAATATTTTTCCCCCAAAAGGAAGCACAGCAGGACTGTGACAAGCAACAGGCACCAGACAGAATGTACAAAGCCAGGAATTTATGAGTTAGCTGGTTCAATGTATATTACAGTTGCTTGACAACTCCACATTTTTGAGCAGCAGGATGCAGACATGAGAACAAACGAACTCCAAGATAACTTCCTTCTCTGAGGAATCCACTAGCATTACTGGTCTTACCTTGGTGATAAGCATGCAGTTCTCACTCCGGCCCAAGGGCACACTACCAACCCCAGCAGCATACTTGCATAGCATTTTAATCATGAGTAGTCAGTGCTTTTATAAAAAGTATTATGTCCATTTTAGATCAACAGCCTGTACCACAGA